AGGTGTTTTTACGTTTTATTCATCACTGACTCCTAGTTCTCTTACTAGGGTCATCTGTTCGTTAATGAGGTATCTCAGCTACCTCCAGCTAGGTTACTGACTCTCTCTCGATATGCTTATCTAGAATTTTCGGACTCGTATGTAAGACTCGCTCTCGGTCAAATACGGCCCGTCTACTAATTGCTCTGGCGGCCTGTTTATCTCATATACCAACGGTCAGGAGTACTCATGCTCCCTGACTTAGCACACAGCGCGTTGGCCAGGAACTCCGCGGGAATTAGTAGACTATCATACTCAGTAAATAAGCCATAGCTCAACCACCAATAAGCATATCTAGAATCATAACCTTTCCATTAACATGCATAACAGACTCACAGTTACTGCATGCTTCCATACATATATCATGATCAACACGTAGAACATTCTGAAAATCATTTATATCACGCTTACAACACAGGCAAGCAGTCACAATATACGATAACACTAAATATCATCAAAGTTCATCATAACTTATTAAGCTCTTAATCAGGTAAACAACATACTCACATGTTGTAAAACAAGTTAAGAACGAGTTCAAAGGTCGATACGCTACTTACTTGGTTTCGAACCCCTTTTTCCTCCTTGAATGTACGTTTAATAGTACTTCAACACAATTCCTTCCTATTAGACCTATATTTTATCAATTTCAACATAAATATAGATCAATTTTGGTAGGACAGGTCAAAAGGAGTCGAACGGGACAAACCGAGAGCCGAATTACCTTCTCACGCGCCCTCACGCGCCAATACAAGGTCGGAGGTTTTGCTTTCTCACGCGCCGATCCGCGCACAGTCGCACCTCCACTCGCAGCCTTCCCACGCGCCTCGCGTGTCCTTCACGCGCTCGTCTTCAACCTCTCCTCCCTGAAATTTTTCCCAATCTTTTCCTTTAATACCCGTTGTGTCCCGAAGCAAAAATTCCATTTCTACAGCTCGAATTTCGTTCTGATTTCTTCTACAACTTTATAGATCTTCTAACTACGGTTCTAACCAGCCTTATCTCATAACTTATTATGCAGTATAACTCAAGATATCGAGATTTAAAGGTTCGGTGATGTGGGTTTTTTTTTCGTTACCTTCGAATTACCGTCCGCTTCAGCTCGGGGCCGTATCCTTTCCTCAAAAGATTCCTCAGCAACAACCCCTCTTCCTTTACCCTCGATTGATGTCCAATTTTAAGCAACCAAAAACTCGGATTCTCCAAAATTTCCTCCTCTGTTTACTGGGTTTCTTTCCAACTCCATTCTTCGTTTTTTTCTTCTCTTTTTAAAGCCTAATCAGGCTCTAATACGCTACCACCTCCCCTAATCACCCACTCATCCCTCTCACACCTCCAGCTACGCGTCCACCGTCCCTCTTCCTCCTTTACAGCAGCTGCTTGACGCAGCTGCTTCGTTTCCGTCGACTTTTCGTTTTTTTTTTTTTTTTTTTTTTTTTTT